ATTTCCCATTGGGAACCTACTAGCACTAAGTTGCTAACTGGTTAGCAAGATGCCTCAGAGACGCCGGCCACAACCAAACTGGCTTGCGAACCTTCCGCCACAACAATCCTGCCCCCTTGATAAATGACCAATTACATTCACTTTATTCACTTGTTTAAAGTCGGGCACCACTCCGGAGAATTCAGAAATACCAAGGTTGGAACAGCCGCTTCCCTACAACTTTAACGAGAAAATAGTGCTATGGAGAAGCACTACTACTGGTAGGTATGGTGCAGGATCTGTGGTGATCTGGGCTTGTTTATCTCCTAGAGGCTTTGGGAAAGTTGATAAAATGCAAAACTATGGACTTCTTAAAAAAGCCAGACATTCTGAAAAAAATCTGGCCACTTCTAACAAATGGGTAGTGACTGGCACCCGGAACATACAGTAAAACCAGGAAATAAGTATAGACAGACACAAAATCAATCTTTGGTTATGAATTTTTCAGGCTCTAACCCTGTAGGCTGAGCTAAACAGAAAAGAGTGATCAGGAGAGCTTGTGCGGTGAGGGAGTGTCTACAATCTCTTTCTGTCTGTTTGCCCAACTCTGGTGGACATGTAGCTGGAGCAAAGTTCCTTTTTATTTGGCCGTATCATGTCCACCACCAGCAGCTTAATCCATAACCACATTACTAATGCCTCATTAAGATTATTTACTTCCGCATTCAGTTTTTCCTACCTTCCTTTTAGGATCAATTCATTTACTGCCTGTATGAAATTTTACAGGCAGTAAAGCAAAAACAAAAAAATTATTTTAAATCATACTGGAATTGATCCATCTAGATATATGGAAAGAATTTAAGCTATTTATATATCGAGAGAATAAAACTCCAAATCAATAAGTAGCATCCTATCAGTGGCACGATTTTCCTTTAATTTCACTATAAAATCCTGTTGGATTGAGCATTACTGCACTCCTCAGCCTATTCTTAGAAAAGGGACATTTTCAGGCTGAAAATTAAATGTCAGTCTAGTTATAGAAATGCCACTCTCCAGTTTATCACTTTGTCATTCAAACAGTGACTAAGAGGGTGACTCTGCTGAGATCCTGACCCTTTTTTTTTATGGGATCATAAGTTTAATATTTGATGGCCGAGCAAATGTTATAAAACAGGGACCTTTCTTTCTTCGAATAGCTTCAGTGTAAGTAATCACCTTCATCTCGATGAGGCAGGATCATTATTTATGCAACAGGTCAGGGCATTGATTTATGATACGTGGGGAAGGAGGAAAAAAAGATTGCAGAGCCGTTAAAGGTAAAGGAAAGAGCAGCTTTTGTGTCCGTTTCTTTTAACAGCGTCCTTCCAGGAGCTCAGTTTATTGTCTGCTTCAGAGAACGCCGAGGCGATGAGAAAGCTCAGTTGTCGTCTCAGGGACATGCTGACTGTAATGCCAGGTTATGGAAAATATTTGAGAAAGCATGCTGGTTTATCAACACTCTAAACACCTTAGACTGATTCATTACTGAGCCTGGTTTCTGTGAGAGTGGATCACACGAAGGCGTGGGCGTCAGGTCGTTAGCAGTCAAGCCTCAGGCGAAAAGTCTCATTTAAATGTTCACATGGGCTAATATGGATGAATTTAATTTCCTTAAAACATGCCTCTAAGGGCACATACGCCACCATGAACCCTCTACATTAACTGTATGGTGAGTAATGATTTTGCTCCGGCATCTGTATGTCTCACTCTTTTTTTGCTCTAAAAGTGGTGATGGGCCTGCTGAAGGTAACAGAACGGCTTGAATCAATCACCATCTATAAAAACATTAAACTTTGACTTATTTTTCATAAAAGTTATTATGTTTTCTCAAGGTAAATGGAGAATAAAGTAATGAAGCCCTGCCCCTCCCCGACCTGTTGCATCCTTTTCATCAGCCTTCAGTCAGAGACTTCTCCAGATCTGCTGTAAGACAGACAGACCACTACAGGAGATCCTGCTTGCCTACAGCCATCAGCATCTACGACAACTCATTGAAGAAACCTTTATATGCATTAAAATAACATTTAATATCCCTTTGGAAAATAAAGCACTATTAAACTGAATCAAACTGAATTAAATTGAAGGATGATGGGATAAAGACTGCTACACTTTTCCCTCAGTGACAAGAAAAGGAAAACTTCTCCTTTTAGAAATTATTTCAGATTGTTACGGCCAGGGAGAGGAGGCTTTAGGAAAGCCATTGTTGACTCTTATTTTAAAATGAATCTTTAACAAAGCTCGGAAGATATGGCTTTATTGTCTTTGATTTAAAAGGTTTTACAGCAAACCTCAGAAATTAGCTGCCGACTCCTATGTAGATGATCACAAAGCCTAAATAAAACAGACAAATTTAAAACTTAAACTGCAAAAAAGGCCAATTTTTTCATAAATACACCCTATTGTGGATGTTTATGCTATTCTATCCATAAGTCGATATTTGCATTCTAACTTAAGCATATCAGAATGAAAATACAAAAAGTTTGTTAGCCTAATATTATTATTCATCCCTTTTCCGTCACGCTTATTACGAGGGTTACGAGGGGTGCTGGTGCCTATCGCCAGTGGTCGAAAGGCGAGAGGCGGGGTACACCCTGGACAGGTCCCCACTCCATCACAGGGCAACACAGAGACACACAACCATTCACGCACACACCTAAGAAGAATTTAGAGAAGCCAATTAACCTAACAGTCATGATTTTGGACTGTGGGAGGAAGCCCGGGTACCCGGAGAGTACACATGCATGCTCAGGGAGAACATGCAAACTCCATGCAGAAAGACTCCGGGCCGGGAATCGAACCCAGAACATCCTTGCTCCATTTTATCTTAATAAATTCACTCCAACTGACATCATAATGAAAATCTCTATGTTGAATCCGAAAAGAAAGAAAAAGGAACTGTACCATGTTGAACTTGTCTCCGTTAAAAATCAAAACAAGAAGAACAAGGTTGAAATTCTTTAGGTAAATAAATGTCTGTAGCAAGTGCAATCTAATCTCAAGCTAATTCAAACTGTCACTGACTCTTTTAGAGACACTGATCAACATCCTATCAACATCACAACTTGGATATTGTATAAAAGATGAAACCACAAAGTAAACACAAGTCCTCTTCAGGTTTTGCAAAGGATACCCATTAGCAACATTATTTTATGCAGCAATATGCTTATTCACTGTCTGCATCAATGAAGATTATCTCACCTCAGTATGCTGGATGCTTAAAGCGACTCCAACTGACACTCGTCTTACGTTCTTTCTAAATAAACAGTCCTTTGACTGATTATTTGACCAGTGTGTGTGTATAGTAACAGGCCTATTATCCCTAGACATACAGTATGGGCAATCATTAGTATGAAAAATTATACACTATCTCAGGGATGCCAAAGTTAAAAGAAAAGTACTGTGTTTTGATGCAGAAACACAGACACAAAATCACACCTTTCATCCCAATAAACAAAAACTACATACATTGGGATTACATCATAGGACAGCCTGCAGCATATATGGGGAAAAAATTAATGTATGGGAGAAAGAAAAACAGTGAGGGAGCCACTTAAAGTATATTAACAAAGCAATACGAATAAAAGCATGCATTTCAGCAACCATGACTCTCAACATAGATTAAGAGCGCTTTTATGTACAGTTTTAAAATAAAATAAAAACAGAAAATATGTATTAATGCAACAGCATTGGTATTTAAGGATTAAATATTTAATAACTTCTATTCAATAAAAATAAAGGCTTTTTTCTCACACATAACTAATTAAATATTCAATGTTCAATCTTCTCCAATAAAATTATTTATAACTACAGTAAGTGATTTGTCTGGAGGCACTTCCAGGCAGATGCTGATTTTGGCAGGCTTAAAGTTTTCCATATTAGATGAATACTTCTGAGGTTTTGCAAACGAAGGTTCATTTAAAATCCATCTTTAAGGATTTAAGTGATGGTGAAGGGTCCTCGAGGTGAGGAAACTTTCCTTCCTTCCTGTAATACTTCCTTCCATTTCACTTTTTTTTCAGCTTTTGTGAAAGTGACTGGTCCCTCCATTTTGGGATTCTGCCAAACTCAGTAAATGCACAAGTGCATCCATTCTTCAGACAGAAAAAACATAATGTCTACTATACCAAACAAAAAACTCCTTCCATATGAGTCCCTCAGAGATTTAAAAATATATTATATTTCAATTATTCCTCGGATTGTCTGCAATGCAAACTTAATTAGACACAATTTCACAAAACACGAGAAACTGCCTGAATCTTCAAAACTCTCATTAATAATCTCTGAATGAAAACAAGCAGTCAAGGGTTGAGAGAAACATTTAAAATTATGAAGAAAACCGAAAACATTTAGCAATAACCTATTATACTTTTTTATGCAACAATAAAGAAAATAAAAACACGACATTCAAGTTACCATCAGATATTCTCACTTCTTTTTTTTTTTTAAATGCTTCAATAAATTGAACCAAAATCATCACAAAAAACAAGGCCAGACGTATGAATTCTAGTTATTCTGCCTGTTGAGCCATCAAAAGAACATTTTCAAGATGTGACCTTATTTCAGTTTAAATATCACACACCCAGACACAAACATATCTGTATCTGTCAGCTGGTCTTTACCTTGGCACTGGAATCCTTGCTTTCCAAACCCCCTGTGAAAAGAGAGGAGATTGAATTGAATGACTTTTACTGTTTAAACATCCTGAATAACAGATTCAATCACACCTGCTTTGATTCACATTACATTCATCTCAAGGAAACGGCTGTTCAAAGAAGGACATAACTGTTAAATTAGAGTTTTTCAATAGATTAGAAATATTAAAGTTACATCTAAAAATATATATTATTAAAAGCAGGTTTAAGTAATTCAGTTGAAACAGAGAAATGCATAATAACAAATATGGGGGATTTTTCCACTTAAGCGTCACTGATGTTATTACCATGTTAAGTAAACTGAAAGGAGAAAAGGTTGTTGCTAAATAAAAAAAAATAACAATTTCTTGTAGATATTTATACATGCATATAAATGGAAAATTAGGTGGAAGGAAAAAACATAATAAAAATTAACCTTAAGGATTGGACAAGAGACAAGGTCAGTGCTTTGAGAGTCACCAAACACAGACCCATCTAGAACATTGGCAACAGCATCCACACTCCTGATGTTTGATTATGTCTTGGCAGAGAGAAAACTTCTTTTAAGGATTTAAAAAAAAAACTTTTGACAGTAGTATGAAGTCATCTTAATGTTTTATGGTTTATGATGATTATGCTTTCATTTTTTTAAAGAATTAGATGCCTCCCAATGCTGAGAGCTCTTATTATATCTGGTCTAATTACTATAGAATGAGCATTTTTGACCGAATAGCAAACTAACCTGACCTTAAATGTTGAATAATTTGGTTAAGTCATGATCAGACACAAGATCTGACAATACAAGCAAGCAGAAGGTGCCTACAAAAGCAACCTGGGCTTTTCTAATACCTCAGTATTCACATAGGCTCACTTTTTTACTCTACTTTTTCCTTCCACTCAACTTTCCATAGTTATGAATGTGGAACGATCTGTTGGTCATCGCCCCCTTTGGAGGAAATTAGTGACTGTATCCTGGAGGAATGTGACAGAAGCAGTCTTCCCTATGACTCTGTTGGTGATGGCTTTTTTCCACCCTCCCTTTTCAAAATTGAAATTTCTTTAAAAGTTGAATTTGGTTGTTTTATCATCTAGGAGTCATAAATCATCAACATTAAGAGAATTTAACTAGATAAAAATCAACGTGTCTACAGTATGAATTAAACAGAAACACATTAACTTTTGAAAGTATAAATGTCTCTAATTTACTTTGATGTATGTACATGGATTTAGTATTAAAACAAACTGTCATCCTACACAAACTGATGTTAAAATCATATATATATATATATATATATATATATATATATATATATATATATATATATATATATATATATATATATATATATATATATAACATATTATATGTTATGATACAAATCAAAACCATTCTGGGATTATTTTGGTGAGATAATAGTTAATGTTACAAAGTTAAAACCTCAATTACATAAATATGGTATGTAGTTAGCTGTTCCACAGCCACATGAGGGCTGCAGGTACGTGTCACCACAGGTTTTTCTGGGCTGTTTTGCCTTCATTTGTGTGTTCAACCACAGCGTGATTATGGGAACCTGAGTTTCAAAGACAAGCAACAAGTCTTCTGACTTCATGTTTAAGCAGAATGCTGATATGTTTAACTGTGAAGGAGTGGCACATGTCAGCCTGCCAACAGCATGCCATAAAGGGCCTGAGATCCCCACACAAACACAAACACACACACACACACACACACACACACCTTAAAGAACAGAGGACTTTAAACGTGGGTGTGCCTACAGAAAAGGACTTCAATGGGAAGCCAAAGTGATCTGTCTAGTTCAAGTGCTCCACAAAAGGCAGGAATTTGCTCCTTTTTAACTTCCAAACCATGTCCAGAGTATGTAAACTGGAAACATGAGCACACGTTTAGCAAGAAAATTCCTTTTTCCGTATGAGCAACTTTCAGAATTTCCATTGAGAACCAGCCGCCTTAGTGGTTTCACTATGTGGGCGGAATGGCAGCACATTAGTCCTTAAAATATTTGATCAGACAAAAATCACAGCCGTTGCTTTGCAGTTATTTGCTGAAGAATGCAGATAAGAAGAGAAGAGGTGTGACTCCTGCAGATTTCTTTGTTTTTTCCCTCAGTTACACAGCTTATAGTCTTCCAGTCAGAGTGTGCATGTTCTCCCAGTGCATACTGGCATGGGCGATTCTAGACAGGGGCCAGGGGCCGTGCAACTGGAAAATTGGCCCCTGTTTTGGCCAATGCACTGAAACAGTAATACTAAAAAAAATAATTTGAAACTGACTGTTGTGGTTTACTTTAGCAATTGTTTAGAAAATTAAAGTGTGTAACTTTGAGCTCCAGATATATTAAGATAGGATCACAGTTTTTACCTGTAAGACTTTGTGGCTCATTTAAAAGCCTATTCTAAAGGATGCACTCTTCCCTTGTTTGATGCATATACTATATATACATATGTATTTTTTTATTCCTTTTTTTTGTAATATGTCCCTATAAAAATAAAACTGGTAGATTTAGTGTGCAGCCACCACTGCATACTGGGGCTCTCTCCTAAATTGTCACTTAATAAGGTGAGCATGGTTATGCTGCCCTATGATGGCAGCCTATGAGTGGATAATCTCACACAGCACCTAATCCACCAGAATTTAATCTAACTGCTTTAAAATCACTGTTTTCCCCCAGTCTCCTGTGATGAATCCCTTCCAATGGGCCTACAACAGTAACAACTCCTCCCATTCATCAGGACAGAAATTGCAAAGTCTCCTACAGGAATCCCAGCAGTTTGATCCCTCAGAGATCTAAAGGGGTGCAGGTTTGGGAAGGTGGTGCCAACCCCTGAAGTTACGCGATGGAGTCGAGCGAAGTTATCCGATCTGCAACAGGCGGGTGGAGGTGGGAGAAGGAGTCAGGCTTACCAGATGAAGTCGGTGCAGTGGCTGCAGAAAGTCGGCTGCTTGAAGAACCTGGCTATGAATTTATGATCCTTCACTTCGTGGACGTTCTTTTGCCTCAGCGCGCCTTTACGCGCAAACCTGTTGGCTACGTCCGCGTTGGACGATTCGTTGAAACTTACATCTGCCATCGCGTCCCCTTAAATATCTATAAAGAAAATCCAGCGATCAATGCGAAAGCTTAGCTCCTTCCTGGGTTTGGGTGTTCCTCAGTCCGAGCAGACTAGCAGGCTTCAGCCAGAGAGCGAAGCGGCTGTCCAGACTGGAGACACTGGAGTTACTGGGTCTGAGGGATTTCCCTGCTTGCCTGCCTGACACTGACAGCTCTGATCTGTCAAGCTGGCGCGGCTGACACTTTCTGCTTCCTCTAAATGCCTCCAAATCAAAAGTAGGATACTGTAAAGTCGAGGGGAAAGTACTGTTGAAGCAGTTAAAATCGTTGGTTGTTTATTTTAACGTTTACAGTTAAACAAACCCAACAGTTTGTTTACCAGGCAGTTAGAATATTACATCAGGCTGTTGAAAAAACAGGTTTTAATGAGTAAAATTTTCTTTTCCAACAAATATAGAAAATGTTGGACAGCTGACCATAAAGAGTCACTAAGTATTGCAAAAAATAAATAAATAAAAAACTATGGCGGTTCTTTTAGTGTTTAGTGTTCATGCATATACATGGAAAGTTGGGTGGAAGGAAAACGTTTACATCCTCTAACTGCCTCTGAATCAAAAGAAGGACTCTTTAAATCAGGGAAATATAATGCTATATGATATTTATAAATAATGCAGCTAAACAAACCTTTCATTTAGTTTATTTGGCAGTTAGGCTATTACATAAGGCTAATACAAATGCAGTCTGCATTACTAAAATGTTATTTTATAACAAGTCTGAGGAAGATTTATCCACAAAGAGTCATTGATTTTCCTGACAATTTATTAAGCTACAAAAAAAGTTGCTATAAAAAAAATATTTATGTTCTTATACTTGTATTCATGCTTATAAATGGAAAGTTGGGTGGAAGGAAAAAATGCAGAAAATAAATAACCACCGGGAAACTTATTTCTATTTTTAAAAAAATAACATTTTTTAACAAAATCAACAGTTCCACAATAATGTTTAAAATCTAGCAAACGCTCTGTCACAGCGTGCACATTAAGAAAATCAATGACCTGGTCATCTAAAAGTTTCCACAACACTTGGAATATTTAGTTAACATGGTCATTTATTAGGTAACAGACCATCTGGTTTTGGCTTGTGACCTTTATTTAGGGTTGTTGTGTTTCCAGTGAGAAAACATGGAGAGATGTAACAAAGAGCAGACAGTATGACCCCGTCTCTTCATCTGTAATCAATGTGGCAAAAATCACCAGATCTACATGCTGAACAGTATGTGAAGATACATCATCATTGCAATAAAAGTATGTCCTGTATTAATATTACAAATGACTCTTTGGAGCACTGTCATTGTTTGGTGTTGAAATGCATTTCTTTTTTTTTTTTTTGTGTAATATTTAGCCATATGGATAGGTTCTAATGGAAACTGGTGCCAATACTAAACAAAATACTAAAGATTAGTGTCGGATGCGCAGAAAATACTGATATATTGCAACTGACATCATCATCGCAATTTTAAGTAATATTAGCTGTAACCAGACCTTATTCATCCATTACACTTTGTAAACATTAAAATACACCTATAAAGTACCACAGTTTTTCTTAAAGACACACACAACACAAACATATATATTTAACAAACTAATTTAATTGATATATTTTTGTTCGTAAAATACTTTCAATCTAATTCAGTTTGATCAACACTCTTTATTCCAAAGTTTCTAATTCACTGCAGTACAATGTTTCTCCTCGTTTATAAAAAAAAAAGAACCAAATTCTAACAGCTTTAAGGTCCATGCTTATGTGTGAGCTTTCATCGGTGAAGCTTTTAATCACCCTGCTTTCATCAACCCTTTATAGGGCACTATGTGAAATACTTTGTGAAACTATGTGAAAACATTTCAAGCCAATAGTGTTATTGGAATCCAGGACAAGACCTTATTACCTTTGTAACATTCAAGAAATAGGGATATTTTGATGGCAAAAATATATGTCAGTGTAATATTTAAAAAAAAAAATAACAAAAGTGCTTCTATTAGAAACTTGTGAAAAACACTCTGAGAGTGAAAGAAACACATTTTTTTTTGGTCCAACATACATTTTAATACATTAATGCTGAAACTAGCACTTACATTTTTTAGTTTATAAGCCTAAATATAATTGTTAACTAGACTTATTAACTTTTTAACTTTTCAATTAGCTCTTTACCTTTTTTTTTCTTGAGTTGTTCACTTTTTTTCCAACTTAATTTACAGTAGGTAATATATCATTCAAGGGCTCATCTAATTGGTCAGATGCCAAAATAAGATGTACAGCCATGTAGCAGAATCTTTGATGAATAGCTGGATATAGATCTTGTGCTTCTAGACCTCACTGAGGGAAGGGGGGGGGGAGGGGTTCATTTGAAAGGGGTATACAAGGGATCAAAAATTGCAACTGCCCTAAAAAGGGTTAAATCTTCTGAAATATAAAACATGAAAGCCTTACATAGAACATTTGAAATCATGTAAGTCATCAAGAGCTGCCCTTCTGTAAATTCACCTTTTAAAATCAAACTACGATATTTCAACAATTTTTTTTAATCTTCCTAAAAAAGAAAAAAAAGAAAAGAAAGGAAAAACAGCAGACAAACATTTCTTAAGAAAAAGAAAGCACAATTTTCTGAAGATTTTTCAGAGTTAGGTTGTTTTATTTTGGAGAACCAATTTCCGGTTCAGGTCCTGTGTACTATTGTGTATCTTGACTCTTCTTCGCTCGTCTTCCTTCTTTCTCGCCTGGCTGATGTCACGCAACAGGATCCACAGTGGGAGGGAGAAGGCCCCGGGTTCCACTGGAAGAACTGAGGCTGGAGGCGCCACCATGTGGGAAAAATGAGCATTACATATTCTTCCTCAAAGCCTACAGACAACTCTACTGGAAATTAATGGGTTACAGTATATTTTAAACAAGGTATCTAAGGTATGATCAAAGTTTGTCAAAGCTGTGATTGTGAATAGATATTTAACTTATTCTCCTTATTTAAGACAAAATACATACACGGTATTATTTGTGCGAAAAAAGTTAGGAATATCTTTCTCTATTTCTTTTCGGGTGCAGGGGTAGTAATGGCCTAGTGGTTAGAGCAGTGCGCTTGTGCTCTGAGAAGGTTGCAAGTACCTGTTCGATCCCCATCCTCTGGGACCCTCAGGAAGACCTTTAACCACTGAATACTCCCCAGGCACCGCCCAGTGGCAGCCCACTGCTCCCCTAGGGGATGGGTTAAATGCAGAGAGGTCATTTCTCCATTGTGAGACAATAAAAGCTCAATTTCTATTCAATAATTAAGCAAATTACCTTTAACTGAGTTGAAATTATACATAAACAATGGAAGAAAAAAAAAGATGAGCCAGATGGACATAGATGAGAAAGGATCAGTGCAAACTCTTCTAAAACAAACTTATGTTTATAGAACAGAGACGAGCTTCATCTTTTTTAATCTCTTTTTTGTACAATTTAATGAATCATTTTTATTTTTAATAACACCTTTTCTATTTGTTTTTGTTCCTGCACTGCGTGTTTTTCTTGTAAAATCCATTTGGAACCAAAAAGTTTCCACTCTCTTAATAAAGCAATCTGCACACTAGTTTACTTTATTACTTTTAGTAAATCTAGATGATGCATCCAACAGGTATATGGTAAACAGAGCTGTTGGAGCAGCAATGAGGTTTTGATAGGAGTGTGAATAATTTGACTTGTGTCCAAAGAAAATTCCATCAAAGGGAGACTAATAAAGATACTTTTGACTTTGTTCCTGTTGATTGCAGTAATCAATATTATCTGCAACAATAGAGGCCCTTAAAATAAATTTTTTATTCGGGCCTTTTTGAGACTTGGGCCTTGCTGAGGATAATGCAGTTATCTTAACCACAGTTAGATGAGTCATTTTGGTATATAAAAGGGAAATTTAATCTACATGATCTGATACCATAAAAAAAGAGCTGGAGCTGCGGGTTCAGACTTACCTAAGCAAACAGATCCAGCGTGGTGTTTTGCATGAGTGGAGTTCATTGTTTAGGCTCTGATTGCAAAAAAAACATAAAACTTTCTTACCCCTAAACATAAACACTTGCAGAAAGCTTTTTTTCCCCTCTTTGTAAGTACATACATTATTTGGTTGTTTGTGAAGTATATGCTTGCACATATAGAGTTAATTTCTTTAATCTCCCACAAGTAAAAACTATCATAAATAAGAAAAAGAAAATTTTATTGAAATTTTAACATAAAACAGCCTGTTTTAGGTGATTCTCCTAAATAATCAGTGACAAAATAACCCACATATGATGTTGAATTAATTAGATCAATTATTTTATTTTATTTTTCAGCTTTTGTTGTGAAACAAACAAACATGTCAGAGGGTTGGCTTCATGAAGAAGACCTGTTATGGTTCTCCCCTTTTGGACTTTGAGTTTTCAGTTATCTATGTCTTTCTGTTTTGAAAAAGTCAGAATTCTGAGATTAAAGTCAGAATTCTGGGATTAATGTCAGAATTCTGACTTTAATCTCAGAATTCTGAGAAAAAAGTCAGAATTCTGAGAAAAAAGTCAGAATTCTGAGAAAAAAAGTCAGAATTCTGAGAAAAAAAGTCAGAATTCTGAGAAAAAAAGTCAGAATTCTGAGAAAAAAAGTCAGAATTCTGACTTTTTCCCCATACTATACTTAAATAAAATACTGTAAAAAATCTGTTAACTTTTTTTTTTTTCAGTGGCCCTAATCCTCTTCCATAGTTTTCCCCTGTTTTTTTTTTTTTGTTTGTTTTTTTGTTTTTTGATGTTTTTTTGTTGTTTGCTTGTTTATAGTATTTTTTGTTTTTTGGGATTTTTGTTTTGGTTGCCTTCGGTTTTATTAAACCTGCAAGAACTCTTTTCTGCTTCCATCATCTCTGCATTTCGATCCTCAGCCAACCTCCACCCCCTTTTTGAGAAGATCAAATAAAAAGAGCAGAAAATTATATTTTTTTAAATATATTTTAATCTTCATTCTTCTGTATTAGCAGTTCATCCCAAACTTCATGACGATGCATTTTTATCAGGCTGCACAAATAAACACAGTTTGCTTTTAGTGACTTATAATTCCCATATAGTTCACTGACCTACAGGGAGTTATCTGCCCTGTTAAACAGAAGACAAATATTCCTAAATGACACAGAGCTGC